TTTAGTAGTCGAACCCTTAAGGCGAAATTGAGATTCGTAGGTATGCGGTAAATGACCCTGAAAGCATGGTTAACGTCAATCTTGTGTTCTGTATTCACAAGATGAGATAGAATAGCTCTGCGAATAGACCACTTAGCCCTGTTTTAGCAGATATATTCATGTTCAACCTTGAAAGAACAAAGTTGAGGCATGCAATCAACGAAACAACTTCCTAATGTCGATATGCTGATGATACATTTGTAGTGTGCAACAATGAAAGTCATGCTTCACACTTACTCAGATTATGCAGTGATGCACACTCCAATGTTCAGTTTACTATGGAATATGAAAGTGACGGGAGGTTCCACTTCCTCGACATTGCCATGCAACGCCTAGAAGACGGTAGTCTTCAGAAGCCAATTTATCGAAAGCCTACTTGGAAAGGGCGATACTTACATTTTAATAGGTTTTGTCCAAATAGCTTTAAACTTAGACTACTCAAGACTCTGTAGTATAGAGCGAAGAGAATATGCTCTATAGAGAAATTAGAGGAAGAGTTTGAGTTTCTTGAAAAGATACTGAAGAGCAATGGGTACCCTCGAAGGTTCATCAACAAGTATGGAAGATCTGAAGTCACAAATGTAAAACAAATCACAGTGGGAAAAAAGCCAATCTACTTTCAGCTTGATTATAAAGCTGAGTACATCACTAGCCATAACCTATCTTGCAGCTAAGCTCGTTTCCGTCTATCGAACAACTTGCTCTTTGGTGCAATCAAAAATCAACAGATATCCTTCTCATGTTAACTCCAACTGTATATACAAATTTACATATATCTGCGGGAGCACTTACATTGGAAGGACAGAAAGAAGGGCATATCTACGATTTTCTGAACATGTACAAAAAAGCTTATATCTAAAGGGAACAAATGCTTTAAACAATGCCATCGCTAGGCATCTCCTTGACTAGGGTCATGGGGTGGAAGTCGAAAATTCATTCAAAATTATTAATAGGCAAAAGATCTCAATTCTCCTCTAGTTTGCTGAAGCCATTTCCATCAAGCGCCTGAAACCTGATTTGTGCGTTCAGAAAGAAACAGTTATCAGTCTTTCTTTGCCCTGGTAACTGGATATTTTCATCTCTCCCTTTCATCTGAATGCGTAATGCTGAAAAGTTTCCATTGTGTATGATTATTAATGTTCGGAGTCGTGTTATATATATTACTGTATGCATATAATGAGTAATTGATTTTTGTTTAAAGTGAACTCTGTGCAAGTATGTTAAGATTGTTTTTGTAGATATATTTAATAATGTTTTTAGTCTGCAAGCAGCTGACGAGAAGGCAACGAAATAAAATATGGTACCACTTTATTCTACAAAAACTGTAGTTCTTGCTTTGTTGAAATTTATTAAGGGGAATAAATGTATGAAAAGCCAATAAATCCTTCATACATGGTTTAGTCCAGTGGGCTGTTAATAGTCCTGTGTACAACGATAACCAATTTATTGCTATGAGTAAGTAAACTTGTTCCGAAACGCACCGATTTTCATAGCTGCTAACTTCTACAAGAAAAAAGTTGTCTACCAACTTCCTACTCGTTCGCCTTAACAGGGCTAAGTAGTGAAGTTGGATGTCTATTCATCCAGAATTTAAGAAGCGGATTATTGAAACAGAATATAAAATATGTAACGCACGAATTAGGTCTAGAATAGATAATTTTGGTGCGTTGTCGGACGCTCAATCATAAGTTCTGAATAGTTACTAAGCTTCATTCTACTCCCACTTAATTCTAACACTGTTCGTCAAGGAATGCGTGTAACTCAGGATATGTGATATATTACCTACGTATATCTATCAGTTAATGAAGCTTTATGTCTGTCTGTTTTCGACATAGAACTTTGCACCGATGTGCACCAGTTCAAGTCGCCACACTTCATGTACCACACACAGCAAGAGAAGAAATGCATAATAAAGACATTAAAAAGACCTGTGAGACAAAGGAATAATTATAACGAAGAACAATATAGTTTCATTGGAAATCATAAGTCACAGGGAGTGGATGCATCCGCACCAGCCATTGACAACGATTTTGAGCCATATCACCAATTGTCGCGAGCCACTGGTTTTTACCGTCCCGAGGACCCCAACCAGGAAGTTTGCACCTTCCTACGTGGCTTAGACTAACTGTTGTGGATTTCATTAACTGATGAAGCCATGTTGTGGTTTGGCCGCCGCTAGCTCTTTTCCAGCCTGACTCTATGTCAACTAACATTGCCCATTGTTGAGGAAGGCGATGACTAGGCATGCATGAGTAACACATGTCCTAACCATCTCAGTCGATGTAATTTCACAGCCTCGTTGGTCGATTTCCCTACCACCTACCTAGTACTCGACCGATGCCTAACCTCAATATTGCTCACCTTGGTATACCGCTTCACACGGGAGATAGAGCGCAGGCTCCTATGATCAAAGACAGCTAATCATTTCATGAATGAAGCTTTATAACCCTGTCGGTAGATTTAATTTTCCCAACAGATTTCTTAATCCCAAAGAAACTGTTCGAAGTTAAGGAGACTAATGTCGATAGCCTTCACTAATATTTATCTGCAGGTCATCAACTGTCATCATAGACAGACAACGTAGGACTGTAGAAAAACAATGGAGGAAACTAGGCATATTTCACACTACAACAATTGTGAATTCTTGAAATGCTCCTATAGATCCTAACATCCCCAAAAGACCGGATGGATACCAGTGTAACGGAAAGTAGACGTAGACCTGGGCAACAGAAATTTAGCAGAAATGATGTGTTTGTTTAGGCGGACCAGTATGCAGACTTTATGCGAATTGAGGCTAGAAAAGGTGGAGGCACGAGTCCATACGTCCCGACTGATCTTTCAACCATTCGTAGGAAAGAGTAAAGACCTCTTCACCTTCAAACATGATGTCTCTAGTTGCAAGAGAAGCCTCGAGATGAAATTTGCATACATTTTCACCAAGAATGTTTTATTTTGCTTGCTTCAATGAAGATGCATTGTTGAGCAAATTTCTCCATGCTCATAAGGTAGTTAATAAGTCACCCAGTGCAATGTGGGAGCAATATATTGGATAATTAGAATTTTTACAGCGCTATGGAGTCGAGTGTGAACGTTATTCACCTGTTATAATATTTAATAATACACCCTAATGGTACAAGTTAAAACAAAGCTGAAATACTATACTTGCTTGAAAATAGAGGGAAATAAAATCCTAAAAGCTGATTATAGGTAAGATATTTTATTTGTTTCGGCGGTGAGACGTTACTAACTACGCTGTATCCCTAATGCGGATCTTAATACCCACACCGTGCTATTTGAATGATGCGTAGTGAACATAATAATGATTTCGAATAACTACTACTAAATTGCGTATGTATGGGGCAGAACTACCTACCTACCTTTATGTGGCTTCAAAATTATCGCTGAACACGGACAAAATGCTGACTGATGGTTATCAATCAATCAATCTATAGACCTTAGAAAACCCCATTTCACCAATACTTTTAGTTTTTGGTGACAAGGATTTCGAAGGAATAGGAGTAGACAACTCATTTTAGCATCGGTTGACACTTCTAAAGATGGACCCTGATACCACACTGTCAGTGTAGCGTAGCTTAGCTTATCTGTTGCTGAGTAACTGATTACCATTAGGAAGATAAAAGACAGATTTATTCAGTGAAGGAAATTTTCTTTATCGACGAAATCATCTTCAGAGGCTGTACAGTCGTATTTATGTTTACCAAAAATGTACAGTAGTCCATTAGTGAGTAATAGGTGGTGACATAATTACTCGGAAATGGCTTTAGAAGTGAAAAAATGAAATAAAAATAAAAATAATGACCTACATAAGCGATTCGTCAGGATCTCAGCTTTGGTATCACCTTTAAATTCACACTTAAAGGAATCGCTGGGGAAAGCCTTCTTTATGACTGAGCAACGCATCAATTTTTACAGCCGACAAATGATCAACGGATGTGTGAAGGACAGACTGCCACTTCAGTGTGTGTTTATAAATTCACCTGCTCTTGTGGAGCTAGTTATATTGGCCGCAGAAAGCGCACGCTTTCCAAACGCATCTCTGGACATTATCCGGCATAGTTAGCAAAGGGACAATCTAAGACAATTACTAGATCAATTCTCGAGCATTTGGTGAATTCAGGCCTTGTAGCTCCACCAGAGTCGTCTTTCAAGATCATTTACAAAGTGAGGCCAAATGGCGTCAGGTTTCGGCTTTTGTGTATGGCAGAGGCGCTGGGAAAAAAAGTTTGTCCAGTCTCGTATTCTTAACCTCTTCACTAGTCATTCCCTGCTAAAAAAGATTTTTTTGATTTTTTAAAATTTTACTTTTAGTTTGCTTTTGCTTTAATAATTAATTCACTATTATCACTCTCATATGCTCCTTCTGTACATCTTACACCCTCTTCACACTAGTTAAATTGACACTCAAATACCTTTGTTCTCACCCAATAGCAATTTTAATCTTATCAAATTATTTATAAATACGACTGCACAGCCTCTGAAGATGATTTCGTCGATAAAGAAAATTTTCTTCGCTGAATCTGTCTTTTATCTTCTTCATGACTCAATGAGTATTTTCGGTGATTACCATTATTTTAAATATGATTAATCATTATTATTATTTTTCGAGTATTGGTTTTGTGGGGATTTTGTTTGATTGCATGGAGGATTTAATCATGAGCTGAAATCAGTTAGAGAACCACTAGGACGAAACAGCTGTCCAGTACTCCCAGGTTTTCCAGTGGTTCTCTAACTGATGTCAGCTCATGATTAAATCCTCCATGCATTATTATTATTAGTAGTATAAGTGCTTCACGACATCCTTTCCGAATGAATCCTCAAAAACAGATAGCAATATAATAAAGGTTGAACAATGCGGACATTATTTTATAAAATAAAATACTGTCTGATATTTTTTTTAAAGGAATATACATAATCATAGCAGTGTTGATTTGATAAACAGTCTAAGCATTACTAATATGTTCGCTATGCACTACTTTTCCATTGACCGGATGAACCATCCGTTCATGATGCTGAAGTTGACCAGATATCACTGGTATATGCACTTGTGAATTGACTTGTTGACTGTTTGAAATATGCGATGAAACTAAATACTGTTGATACATAATAGGATTGCCGACAGTAGATATTGTAGTAGATCCAACCACCACAGGCACGGCATGATGCATTGAAGAGTTAACTGTAATCTGATGCGGTTGTACTACAGGTTGTTGAGAAATTTCCGGTGTTGCATTGACCATATGCTGTGCAGGGTAATTGGGAGCGGAGCCTTGAATTTGATGATTGGGTTGAGGTAAGCCAGTCGGAGGTGGGTGAGGAGTACTCGCAGGTTGGACTGTTGTACGATCAGCTATTGTTGCCAGATAGATAAGATTACGGTGCAAAACACGTTCGAATTCTGCTGCTTCTTTTGCTGAACCCATTCTCTGGTGTGCTATAAGACCGTGGATAAGTCGGACATTTTCATCTAACATCTGTATAAAGTGAAAGAAAGAAAATAAGTCGATGCAACATGAAACATCATGATCATTTACTCCTCACTAGTATACACTTTTCGACATTATTATTATTACCAGTAATTTTCGAATTCAAACAGACGCAAAATAGAAATTCAAGTGTTGGTTTCCAAGGATTTGTTTGGTTACAGCCGACATCGGTTAGAGAATCACTGAAAAACCAGTTGGGAATACTACCAGACAGTTGCTTTGTCAGCCTAGTGCTTGGGACTCCACTTCAGCAGTACGCAGCCGCTTACCGCCAGGATTCTAACCCAAGACCTTCCAGTTACAACACCAGAGGGTTCGCAGACCGACTATTAAGCCACTGGTCACTTCATGCATTCCCACTCCTGCCAATTCACGCACGACATGGCGCGACTGGCACTAGCCAATGTTATTGGTGGCAAGTATTTGTCCTCAAACAGGGCCTGTTGTATCCCACTGGTCGCGACCTCCCAATAGAACCAACCCGGATAAATATCTACCTGAATACAGGCAGTCGCTATTGAGCATTTCATCCATATCCAAGTGTTGGTTTCCAGGGATTTGATTGGTGACAGGACTAAATCACGAGCCGATATCGGTTAGAGAACCATTGAAAAATATGGAAGTACTGGACAGTTTTGTTTGGCCTGTCTAGTCTGGGACTCTTTAGCAGAATTCTTGGTGGTATCGGAAAAGACTCTTTTATTTTATTACGAACAAATTTATGCTGAAACTCAAAACGAACAAATATAAACTAGTGAAACTATAAGCTTGATTGTATTTGCCTACTTCTTAGCTCTGACTTCTAAATAACATACATATACATAAAAATACCATCGAATCTTGATTTATTTATTTAAACGCAGAAAAAACATGGTACAGTATGGCACCAAGAAAGATGCGCCACACAATAATAATAAAACAACACAGATCAGAAGTAAAAAAATATAAGTAGAGAACGGATAAAGAACTTCATCTGGAAGGAAAACAGTCATGCTTAACAAGTTCAAACAGTATTCGTTAACTATCATCGGGAAGGGAAGAAAGAAGGACATTGCAACACGTTCGCCATTGATGACTGCGATTCTTGGGCATATCCGATAACGTTCCGAGCCATCGATTTGAGCTATCTCTCGGACCCCAACCATGGAGTCGTGACACACCAACCGATGATAATCTAGCACAAAGATCCTTCATCCCACGACACCACGTCATGCACTGACCACCCCTCCGCACTTTCCATCTCGTCCCACGACTGGCTAGCTAACAGAGACCTGTACGGAAGCCTCTGGGGTGACATTCGCAGCACGTGTCCAAGCCACCGGAGCTGGTGTTTCCAGATGACGACAATCAATGAATGGTGATCTCCACTGTGTTCAAACACACGCCGCTTAACCTCAGAAGTATTCACGCGATGATGCCATCGAACGCAAGCAATCATGTGGAGACAGCGATGGTCGAACACGCAGAGCCGCCGCACATCCTCAGCTCGAAGAAGCCAAGTTTCACAGGCGTAGAGCAAGACAGCGCGCAACGAAGCATTGTATACCCGACCTTTGACAGCCAGGCTAACGTCGCGACGGCGCCAGAGGTGGCTGAAGTTGAAGTATGCCACCCTAGTCTTCATTATACGGTTGCAAATCTCATCCGTCATCCCTCTGCCAGCACTCACACAACTGCCCAGATACACAAACTTATCAACAACTTCAAGCAGTTCACCCGCAAGAGTGAGTGCAAGTACAGACTCCTGCCAATCTTGTAACAGTACTTTGCACTTAGATGGCGCAAAGTACATACCATACTTACAGACATTGATTAGAAATGGTTTTGTTCAGTTCATGATAGTTTTTGATTACCGACTTTAATTCGTTCATGGTATTGTGTTATGGACGTAAGTAATGGAAGTTAACTACAATTCGAATTAGTTCAAAACAAATCTATGAATGCGTAAGTTATGTCAAGTAGTCACTTACAAAACCTATGACTTTATATCCACATTGATCATTTATTATATTAATATTGTTTCTTAGGTTCCGAGTGGAACAGTGGGTTTCAACAATTCATCTCCACTTCGTTCTATTTTTTGTTATCGTTTTTAGCTGAGTTCACGATTGCCCATGATCTCTAATCTCCTCATCGCCAAACGATCTCCTCCATGTCACCCTTGCACTGACGACCCACTGCTCGTCGTTTCCCATTCGGGTTCCACTTGAGTGAGGACCTGCGTTCAGCGCGAAGTCATCCAACGGTGTCTTCAGATGCGTGTGCACAATGCATCTCCATCAGCTGCTGCATATTTGTTGAGCAATTACTTGTTGGTTGATTCGCTCCTACGGATTTTTGTTGCTAATTCTTTCTGACTATTTGATCTTCAATATGAAGGTGGAGAAGGCAGGTGTTGATAAAGGTCTGCAGTAGTCTGTTGGAAATGTTTTTCGTGAGGCTCCTGCCAAGTTTTTCTGACCCATACAAAACTGACTTAACGTTTGTGTTGAATAATCCGAGTCTTGTTGTTTATACTTAGTGCAAAATATTTCCAAACTGATTTCAGATGGATGGTGTGCTTGCTACCTTGCATTGCCGACCTTGTCTGTATGGCTTTGACATCTTCATCCGTTCCGGCTGCCTCTGGTTGAGACGATACTTCCTAGCTAGACACGTGAAGGCAGGAAGTAACCTCTTTCAGCTTCTTCCCAATGACGGTGATTGGAGCTGGTTTTTGTTGCTGTTGCTGCATATCTTTACCATCGCCGTCTTCGCTGTGTCCACCTGGAATCCTGTCCCCTCTGTCTGTTTCTCCAAACAGTTTGCTGGTTTTCACCAGTAAGTACTAGAGTTTGTAAGACATTAAGCATAAAAAATGGTGGAATGATTAATGGAAGCCACGATATATTAAACTGAGAGCTTTCCACTCACCAGCTAATATTGATGGTAATGGGGATAAACAGTATGATAACCCCCAACGTTCAAATATCACTTCTGTCCATCAATAATGACTGTCATGTACCAATTAGGGATAAATAAGTGTGTATTTATTATTTGTGTTTCCTTAAACACACAACATAGATGCAGAATGCCCGCTAACCAACCACGCACGTGGTCCGAGATTCGACCGCCGGCCGACACGCACTCCTAAGCCAACAGTCTGTCTGTCTGTTTTCGACATAGAACTTTCCACAAATGTGCGCCAGTTCAAGTCGCCACACTCCGTGTAGCACGCGAAGCAAGAGAAGAAAGTACAAGAAAAGCATAATAGAAACAGTGAGCAGAGGTGTGAGACAAAGGAGTAATAACGAAGAACAAAACAGTTTCATTGGAGATCATAAGTCACAAGGAGTGGATGCATCTGCGCCACTGAGAACGATCACTTTGAGCCATGTCACCAATTGTTTCCAACCATAGATTTTTACCGTCCCGAGGACCCCAGCCTGGAAGTCTACACCTTCCTACGTGGCTTAGACCAACTGTTGTGGATTTCATTGACTGGTGCCAAGTTTTTGTTTAACCGCCGCTAGCTTTTTTCCAGCCTGACCCTATATGCGTTAACATTATCCCCATATAAGCCAACAGTAAACAACTCAGTAGAGAGAGGGGGGTTGGGCGTGTGACCAGCAACCTCTGCTACCGAAACTTCAAAGCCTGAAGCCTTATGTTCCATGGGGAACGTAAAGTAATAAAAAAAACTCAGACTCAGCGGCGTTATCTGTACTAACGGAAACGGTTAAAAGACATCTGTAGGGCAATTATATCCCAAAGTAAAGTTCCAGAAACTACTAAATAACTACTCCAGGAAACAAAAAGTAGTAGGCTTTTGGACTTCGTTGTGCTTTCTGAAAAGTGACTGGTTGTAGATTTAATTGCGAAGAGCTTTTGTTGTCTCCCATCTAGAAAACAGCCTTCAGTATGAAATGGACTCACTTGAATTCTCGCTTTATGAATGATGATATAATAGTGTCTCCTGACAGACGATATTTGTTGTGATTCGTTCTTTCTTAACTATTGATATTTTTTATGATTAACTTGGAATCCCAACATTTTTGTTTCCTCGATTAGTTAGTGAATTCGGTCTCTAGTCAGTAGTATGCTCGTTAGTCGCTAATATTCCTCTGGATACAAGACAGACTTCTAGAAATTTCCTGACAGCATTTTTCGTGTTTCCTCTACCCAACATTTCTAAATTATCTCAATCACGCAGTTCGTGTCCGTAATTATAGGCATGCATCGACATGGGATAGATAATACATATCGTGCCTCTTCACAGCTGATTTATGTTCTTGGATTCGGACAGGAAGTGGACGCTCGATTTGACCGATGTAATGTTTACGGCGCGTCGGTGGCATAGCGGTTAGGACGCTCGCCGACCATGCACATCGTCCGGGTTCAATCCCCGGCCGACGCACTCCTTTACCTTGCTAAGTCAGAAATAATCCCGGTAAAGAGGAAAGATTGGGTATGAGGCTAGCAACCCCATCCTGTAAAATAAACACTGCTACAGAAACTTTAAGCCACTAGCTTGAAGCCCTATGTTCCATTGGGAACGTGAAGGAAAGAAAATTTCATATAAAAAAATAATGTTTACGGCAGTTCATTCAATTTATTTTGTAAATGTTACTGATCTTTTTCTGTTTGACCTTTTGGTTCCCACAGTATCGAATGAAGTGATTATGTAGGTTAGCTCGTGTGTTGTTTATTTCAAATAGTCGTAGTATTCTAGTCGTCATTTCATAGATATTCTTTATATATGGTGGAGTGAACTCGTGATCTTCGATGATGGTTTCTTCTTGATATTACGACTTGATTTCAAACATCTCATGATGATAGTGTGTTTAGGGGTGTGGTATTCATTCTTTTTGAAGATGATGAGTAGACTATATATGTCCGAACCAAGTTCACTCTTAACACTTTGAAAAAATCTAGGCATTGGGTATATGATATTCATTATAATAAAGGCTTTTTTTTGTATTTCCCAATAAATGAAAAACAAAAAGGATGTTGTTTTTTTACTGACGTTTCGCTATCTGATGCTAACAGCTTAGTTAGTAGATATCTTTCTCCCATTCTCTTCAGTAAATCGGAGCAAGATACATGTTGTCTAAAAGGACAACGGAAGCTTGTAAATTACATCAACCAGCTCAGAGAACACAACTATACCAAAATCATCCACCTGATATGCAAATCTCCATTATTTTAAATAGGTTTTTCAACTTTTCAGTTATTCAGACAATTGAAGAACACAAATTACATGACACGGATAACAATTTTCGTGAGAAATCGACTGTCAGTTGGAAACAGAATTCTTGAAGGTCTTTAAATTACTAGTGAGGGTGAAGATAGCAGTGGAACCATTTGAAATTCTTTCAAAAGGACCTATGAGCTACAGTAAACACACTCACGCCACTTGTGCAGGTGTGCAAGGCAGAGGTGGTACCTGTCGAATTGAAGGGAGACCTCTTTGTGAAATTACCAAAGGGAAAGCAACTTACACCTTTCATCATGAACTAACACAGAATCATATTACCGTCCACTCGAAACAAGATATTATGCAGTATCATCCTGAAAAGATTAAAATGTAATATGAATGGAAGACATCGCCCAGAATGAACTGGACTCATGAAAAACAAGTCATGAGAAGAATAAATTTTAAAGTTACGCGTCAACGATCGCACACAGATCGTAAAATGAATAGCAGTCAACCCACATTCAATTTCACAAACACTGGAATCGTTTGTAACACTGTCAACTGTGAAGTAATTTGGAAATAACTTCAACATTACAGGGTGTTGTGCCCCAAACGTTTAAAAACCTCATTCGACAATTATATGATGATGATAATACCAAGTAATTACAAGCATTTTACTACATTATTTCTTTTGATTCGATAATGCTAATCTAAAATTCAGTAATCTTAATAAACTTTAAAATCATAGATATTGAACCCAACACACAACATCTTTTGAGAGTTTATGTTAGATAATTTACAGGTACATTGTTTAAAAAACAACTGAGTAAAGTACTAATCATTTCCAGACACTGAAAAATTACCTTTTGAATTGATGATGGTTGTATGGGGGGCGGATCACGTCGCAACTGTCCAGACTGCATTGAAATAGTTGAGTGAATTTGAGACAGAAATGTATCTAAAGAACAAAAACAAATCAATATATGCATCTTTAACTTGTAATTTGTTAGAAAAATGCATCACACTAGAATCTCAAATTTGGTTACCTGTCACACCACTAACATTTTAACTGTGAATGCTTCTAACTTCTGAGGACATACGATACCACAGAAAATTCAGCCAGATGGGGGCGGAAAGAGACTCAAACCTGAAGCTGATTACCTGCGTTCTCAAACTAGATGGTACTTGAGAATACAAAGTTATACATATGGTTGATTCATTAAAAGAAATTCACTGATCATTAACTGACTGCCTGACTGGTCTCAGCATAGAACTTTGCACAGATGTGGACCAGTTTAAGTTGTCACCCTCCATGTAGCAAACAAAGCAAGAGAAGGGAGATTCGAAAGAGAGATAATAAACAGAAATTTATGACGAAAATAATGGTAGTATAGTGGAAGAAGAAGAGAGTTTTATTGGATATGCATCTTCCCCATCATCTAGAACGAAGATTTTGAGACAAACATACCACCAAACGTCTTCAGTCTTCATTCAATCTTGCCATCATCCTGAGGACCCCAACCAGCCAGTCAGGCCAGGCGGCAGTCTACACCTCCCTGCGTGGCTAGATGGCTTAAACTGTTGTTATGGATTTGATTGACTGGTGAGGCCAGTCACGTGCTAGCTAGCTCTGTCCCAGCCTCATCCATATTATTTCAGCTGCTAACATTGCCTGTCAGTCGAGAAAGGCGATGGATATCTAGGCTGGCATACATGCATGTGTAACACGTGTCCTAACCATCCCACTCAGTCGATGTAACTGCCGCACAACTTCGTCGTTTAATTTTCTCTCCTTCTCCTTACCTAGTACTCTACTGAAGGCTCATAAACTCAATATTACTCACCCTATCATGCCAACTAACACGGGAGGTACAACTCAGGCACCTAGGATGGAAGACAGCTAGCCGGACTTTTCATGTATTCCACTTTCATCAATAGCCGTCATGTCTTACTCACAGACATAAATCAGGACACAGCGGACTGCTGCCGCTGCTGTGCAGTACACACATTCATTGGTCGACAGCCAGAGATGGCGTAGGTTGGTTGTCAAATGCCAAGATAATAATAAGTTGAAAAGTTGAGAAATTTTTGAAACAGACGGAAAAATAGTATCTTATCTTGTTTTTTAGGAAACAGAAAGATTGAGCGAAGAAATATTTACTTTCCAATTAGATCCTCATCTCTGGCTCTACTCTAATATACACGTATAGCATTTTTATAACATTACACAACAGTTTACCAATCAAGTGGCGATGTTTGTTAACAATAATTAGTCAGTGTCAAAATGTCAATGGGTTGATAATAACCGAGGAAAATCAATACACATTTAAAAGGTAGAAATGGTTAGAATAAATTAATTTTATAAGGATGACACGTAATTAAAGATGAAGTAGTCAGAAAAAATAAAATAATCTGGAGAATTGTAATTTTTATAAATTTAAAGGTTTAGGGGGAGGGAGGTGAAATAGCCCGGTTTATGCATTTATGTAACGACGGCCAAGGTAAGGAAAGTGGCTGCACGCATTTCTTCTAAACACACAGGTTTGGCTTCTTCAGGTGGATTCCTATTGCTTCAGCTGTCTGTAGAAGACGAGCTCGTAGAGTGAAATTAAGATTAGTAGGAATGCGATAAGCAATTTTAAATGCTGTACTAACGTCATCCTTATGCTTTCTATCTACAAGGTGTGCTAAAATAGAGTTGCGAATAAATCTTGTTTGTCCCTTGCTTAACCATGTTGGATGATGTTCGGAAAAACGATGATGAACCTGCCTAACTGTTCGCCCGATGTAGCTGGCTCCGCAGCTGCAGTCAAACTGATAGATACACATACAAGAGGCAAGTCTAGGTAGTTTATCCTTATTTCTCGAACATTGTTTTATCCACATCCATACCTTTGAATGTTTATTAGCACGCTAATGCACTTAATAGAAATTTGTAGCTCAGGCAGATGATTTGCAAATAGCTGTGTTCTCTGAGCTGGTTGGTTTAATTGCGTTTATTGCATTTATTGTTTGTAGCCAAAGAAGTGTATAAAAGCCACCATTGTAAAATGTTGCTAGTGTAATGTCTAAGGCTTTATTACGTACACCTTTTTCAATGCCAAGCTAGACAACATATCAGGTAGTTTAAGCATTCAGTATTAAATGTGTTGTTTTTCTAACGTATGAATATATATATATATAATCAATTAGTTACTGCGCCTCATTCAACCTTTACTAACCCCAGTTTCCCAGAATGCAAAGGCAACTTATTTCTCATAATGATCATTCGACAAAACACTGTACTGCCCTCACACAATTATCAACTAGAAGCAGGGCTTTAGCCTGGAAATAGGTTCAGAATACCCTCAGATATAACTGGCCCTACAACAATTAAGAGACTAAATGGGTATATTCGAGTCGGAAAAGTGGGTTATTTCATGTGAATCACTAGCTAGACTAAACATCTTTGTAAACCGAAGTTTGTACCGTATGATTTAAAGCTAACCGGTTAATTTTTTCCAGCTTGATTCCACACTGTATTTTTGGTAGAAGTATGGAATTTTCAGCATGTGATATCGGTAGCCCACATTTTGCAGGCCAAACATAGATATCGGGTGTTCGTTGACAGGGGATCGAACCTCGGACCATGTGCATGGTCGGCGAGAGTCCTGTTCCATGGAAAGACATTAAAATAGTCCCTGTCCCTAAACCTGGCAATAGCAAGAACGTAAAGTTCAGACCCATCGCCATCACTTCCCCGTTTCTAAAGCTCATGGAAAAACTAGTACTTCTTAAACTTGAACCCTCCCTTAAAAGCTTCGAAGACCCCAAACAATTTGCCTACAGACAGGGTAGGAGTACTTTAGACGCTGCAGCCGTCTTACACAACAGTATTATCTCATCATTAGACAAAGGTGCCAAATATGTCCGCTGCACGTTTCTTGACTTTACTTCTGCTTTCGACTCTGTACCTAGAAGTCTCTTGCTAAATAAGCTCTCCATGACACAAACCGAGTCCTGGGTCACTAACTGGTTGCATTCCTACTTTTCAAACAGAATGCAGTACACCGTATACAAAGGCCAATCCTCCTCTGCTGTGCTCACAGAAGCTGGTGTCCCCCAAGGTGCTGTACTCTCCCCACTTCTCTTTTCTTTCTTTCTACATGACCTACCGTCTTCAAATGACATTAACTTTGTCAAATATGCTGATGACCTAACTGTGTCTTTACCTGTCAAATGTCAAAGTGACTGCTCTAAACTAAATGGCTTCTTATCGGAAATTAGCCAATGGTCCAAGGAAAACGGTCTAACCTTAAACCCCTCCAAATGCCAAACAGTTAATTTCACCCTTAGGCATAAATCTGACCTAAACAAACTGGTTAGCACTCACGAGGTGTGCAACATAGATGGCAGTGAAATAGAAACCAAGTCGGAAATTAAATACCTAGGCGTCACTCTATCTTCTGATCTTTCCTGGTCGTCTCATATCTTGACGATTTCCAAGAAAATATACCGTCTTACCTTCTACATCAAGAAGTTAAGACATTCTGGTGTAACCCAACCCTTACTCCTACAATTTGTTAACTCCCGTATTCTGCCTATTATTCTCTATTGCTCCCCCTTAGTCTTTCCTGGGCTATTGAAGAAAGACTATACCTTATTACGTAGGATGTTAAAGGTTGTCAGCAGGGTAAGCAGCTTGCCACTTAGCCAGCTAGTTAATATTCTGGTGGACAGGCATATGGACTCATGTGAAAAATGGGCGAAATCCATTTTATCTGACTCACAACACCCTCTACATTCACAACTCTCCCCATGTATCTCTTCAGGGAAAACAAGAAGCCTATATAGGAAACTATATGCCCGCACTAGTAAGTACAAAAACTCATCCATACCCTACTTAGCTCGTGTTCTGTGCGATAAAGAATGCATCAGGCATGAAACCTTTAACTTATTAAATAGTCAGTAGAACCAATGGATCTTGTCTTTCCAACTCACATCATTTATAGGTACAACGTTTTCTCGCTCTTCATTCTGTATTTATTTTTGTTATGTGCTGTTTTGTTTCTCTCTTCCTTGCAAACTCTACTTAAAACATTCTTGTTCGTTCTTTCACACTCTGTACATCTCGAACATTTTGCTATCGCTTACGCCAGTAAATATGCTAGTAGTATCTACTTTTCTAACACCTTCAAACACTTTAATTTTGGCTTTGCTACCGACATACTAATATGTTGTTGAGATAACTTTAATCTATGTAGAACTTTATTTATTGTTAATGTAAAAAACTGGATGCAATATTGTAGTAAAATGCTGAGAATTCCATTCTGTATCACAAGTACTGATTTGGAATAAAGCTTATGTTATGTTATGTTATGTTAACCACTGTGCCACCGACTTATATAATATTTTCAGTCTGCGGTTATCATAAGGCACCTACTTAGGCTTTTATGATAAATTTTTTGTGGAAGAGACGTTTTGACGTAAAGCGGTCTCGAGGGATACACACTAACTGACCGATTTTCACTAGAAACAAATAATAACCAAGGGGTGGTTAATAAAATCTTTGAATGGTTGCCACGCGATCAGGCCATGCCAAATTTAAGAGCATACTATTTGAATGGTCTCCACCAAATCTTAGTTTCAAGGTACGAAGTGAAATGGTTCAGCATGTTGACCACTCTGCCCGTTCGAGAAGTCGTATCAGTTCTAATAAACTGAATACTGACAAAACCGTAGCTTAGTCGCAAGTCTTACGTGCTAATAGACGACTTATATCGTCTTTGGCGCAAGCAAGATTTCCACCCATCGATCAAATAAAGTGTGTACTGTGTACAGTTTGTCCTGTTCTCCTTTATTGCTATCAGTTATTATCATTGCACGTGGAATATTAGGAAAGGTTAGCTGTCTCTGACAAAATGTGTTCACGTTCTGTCTTCTCGATCAAGTGGTAGGATATGGTGAGTAATATCGAGATTGGATGCACTGCCAGGGAACAAGGGAAAGTCAGTCGATGAGGTTGTAAAGCTACATCTATTGAGACAGCCACCAAACATTGAGAATAATAGGTCATTGCCTCCCTCGACTGACAATTTCAGACTACATACAACTGGGTTGAAAGAGAGTTAAGGGTTGCAATATTAAAACTTGATATCAATCTATGAAGTCATTGACTGTTAATGTGAGCTACGTATGGAGGTGTACACTGTCTCGATAGCATCCTCAACAAGATAAGGATAAACGACTGAGAACTAGTGTCAGTATAGTTCGAAATCGTTCTCGATGGCGCAGATGCATGCACTCTTTCAGGTACCCCACATGTTTTTCTACGCTACTGTTATTTCCGCGGAACAATCTTGTTTATTATAGTTCCTTTAAACCTCTTTTTTATACCTTTCTGTTCTACAAGCAGCGTGGCGTCTTAAAATGATGCATTCGTGTGCAAAAGTCTATAGTAGAATTCAGTCTGTTATATCAATTTCTCTTACCACTTAAGACAGGATTAAGAGCCTAGACAACTAAGCAATAACACTAAGTTTGAGCAAAGAAACAAGACATAGAAGGGACCCCGAAGGCAACTAAAAATTCGAGAATTTAGTAATAAAATCATGAAATTCATTGAGAAGGAGGTGGCATGACCTCCTTCAAGTCACCCTTGGACGACCATATGTGTACTTGTGTTTCATTAACTTAGCATGAAATGAAGTAACATTTATTTTCACAGATTATTTGTCCTTATGAGGCGTCAGTGAATTTCCAAACTCTGGTTTCTTTGTGTTAAATGTCTGTGATTTGAGAATTTTACACATACATACGGAGGACAGGTTGGCTATTTAAGAAGTAGGCTGATTTTATTCGAACAGTGTTGACAAAAGGCCACCACGAGAGAAGAACGCATCGATGGCTTGCAGGGATTAACTATATGAATTTGGCTATAGCCACTATTATTATAATACGTTGCGCGAAGGAAGATACGTGAAGCTATGCTGAAACAAAAGTAGTTCGGACCGGGACCAAATGACGAATTGAGAGGCATTTTCAACCGTCGATAAACAGTAAAACCGTTCCTAATACTCACTTTCTGTATCGCTTTTTGACGGACGTAGTCAAAACTTTTGAATAGCGCGCCTTTGCTAAGGATTAATCTCATTGGTTTTTCATGACTGTTCAAGTGTTTCGTTGATTTGGCTCCATAATTTACTCTTACGAGGCAAAACATTCAGAAAAGCACCCGATTCAATATGCCTGAGCTTTCTTAGATATTAAATTAAAAACCTTTTGATTATCTTAATTAGGTACTTTGACTTACATCATCAAACCACTATCGCGAGTGCGTTAAATTACATAAATGAAAAGTGTTTTGTGCACACAAATGCCAAGTAGTGTGTAAATAAGGAATTACGACAGTCAATCCTCCTATCATCGTCCAACGGTGAGTGCTACTGTCAACTGATTTAGTAGACTAATCTAGGTGCTCCTTTAAAGGTTGACGGATATCTTGTTCAGAAACTTCTAACTAACTTATTCTCACGTACCAAAGACAAAGCAAAAGCCATTATTTGATCGTCCAAACTACGTGATATATTTTGAGACCAAAACAAGCCGTCAGACGAACGCTTAGCTGGCTAGTGATCGTGCATGTGACACGACGGGGTACCAAATGGCGGGGATGCTTGACCGGAAGCCTTCAGCTAAACAAGTCGACTTAAACAGTGGTGGTCAGCATCCAATGGTGAGTGATTGCTGTGGTCAATAATTTTGGGGAATTATTTACCGCTACAGCTCACTCCCCCCCTAGTGGGTTGGTGAGGACCCTAAGACAGAACCAGCCGGAAGTAAAAAACTCGATGGTTCCCTTTCGGGTGAAAAAAATCTTCCGAGCGGCTTGGTGGGGTGCCTACTGGTTTGTCTGCCTATGCTAATAGGGTGTTTGTACATAGCTTCCTTGTTGTTGTTCGTTGGATTCCGTGCTTCGTTTGTTTCCTGTCCAGTGCCCGTCGCACCTGGAAAAGAAAACAAGAACGCTAAGAACCATGTCGAGGAAAATGTACCAAATCAGTTTTTTGTTTAAAAAAAATGATGTGCATTTACTATACAGTAAAATAATGCTAAGTTCAGAACATCGAAAAAAAATACATCTAATTAATTTTTTTTGTGTATGTTACATGAACTGTTGAAAAAAATTTTTGTGTTTAGTGGTACTGTATATAAAAAAATTGATACGTCAAAAAAATAATTAGTACCACAAACGGATGAGTTGCGTGAATCACACGACTTCGTTAAATCAAATAAGTGTGCAGATATTCTGGGAACCTTACGGTGCGTCCAGAACGGGTTTTCTTGGGGGGCTCGATAGAAGGTTCGGTAGCTGTCGCTGTGCTAGTGACTTCATCGATGTCTAAACGATCTTCTGTTACTTGTGGATTTTGGGGTACGTTGAGCTCTATGCTAATAGGATTACCCTCCAAGTAAGCCGGTTTCAGACGGTCAATGCTGACGGTGTCCTCGCGGCCGTTTTTGTCCAAGACAAAGAATTTATCAGAACGTTTAATTATTTATAAGGTCCGTCGTATGGGGGTTCCAGGGGTCTGCGCACAGAGTCGCGACGAACAAATACATGTGAAGAAGTTTTCAAACACGGATGAACGAAAACATCAATGGACTGTGGACGAAGGGGAGCAGGTTTAACTGAACGCATTGCGTTTGTAAGCCTGCTGACGTATGAAGCGTGATCTACCACTGGTGGGAAGCTCGAGGGAGAAACAAATTCACCAGGCAGTCGCAGTGTCGTGCCATATACTAGCTCGGCGCTAGTACAACCAGCATCGGTTTTCAAGGCGTTTCGTATCCCTAGGAGAACTAACGGAGGGATTCAGTCCAATGGGTGTTGTTTGCAGCTGACAGACCAGCTTTCAGCTGTCTGTGTAGACGTTCTACCATACCATTAGCTTGAGGATGGTAGGCTGTTGTTCGAAATCGCATGCAACCTATGATTTTAGTCAGGGCGAAGAATAAGCCACTTTCGAATTGCCGCCCGCGATCAGTTGTTATGGAAGATGGGCATCCAAAGTTAGCGATCCATCTTTCTACGAAGACGCGTGCGACTGTTTCAGCAGATACGTCCTTGATGGGTACTGCTTCCGGCCATCGTGTGAATCGATCGATGCAAGTTAAAATATAGGTATATCCATGGGATTCAGGAAGGGGTCCAACCAAATCTATATGGACGTGTTCGAAACGAGCGTCAGGGAGAAGAAAGGTGCCAAGTGGGCTTTTGGTGTGTCTTATCACCTTGCACTTTTGACAAGCTAAGCACGTGTGTGCCCATTCCCTTACTTCTTTATTAATGCCAGGCCAACAAAACCGACTAGTTACGAGCTTGACAGTAGTTCGAATACCTGGGTGAGATAAGCCATGCAACGTATTGAAGACGTTACGGCGATAACTTTTAGGCACGATGGGGCGAGGAGTACTCGTGGAAATGTCACATAGAATAGTATCTCTTCCCATACCTAAGGGTTTCTCAGCTAATTGTAGAGTTGTTTTCGACAACTCATGTTGAAGCTCGGTATCTTCTTTTTGAAGACGAGCCAGTTTTACAAGGTCTATGCCGTCGATTTGGGTGAGGGAACAAACGCGCGACAAGGCATCTGCCACAGTGTTGTTTACTCCGGATACATGGCGAATATCTGATGTAAACTGTGAGACGTAATCCAGTTGTCGTGATTCCCTGGGTGAATACTTATCTGAAGGTGAGTTCAGAGAGTACGTCAGAGGTTTGTGATCCGTAAAAATTATGAATTCACGACCCTCTACCGAATGTCTAAAATGTCGTATAGCACAGTACATAGCCAGAAGTTCTCTGCCGAATGTGCTGTACTTCGTTTCAGCTAATTGAAGGCGCCTGGAGAAAAAGGCGAGTGGTTGCCACTCATTGTCAACTAGCTGTTGTAGAACTGCGCCGATTGCAGTGTTTGATGCATCAACCGAGATACTTAACGGTGCCGTTGGATCCTGATACATCAGAAGTGTGGCATTCGCAATAGCTTTTTTAATCTGGGTAAAAGCATTTCGAGCAGACGCGTCAAGTTCTATGGACTTGTTATTCCCTCGAAGGAGGTCTGTCAATGGCTGAATCAAAGAGGCACAGTTGGGAATAAAGCGTCGATAATAACTTACTAAGCCGTTAAAAGTGCGGAGACTTTTCACCGTCTGTGGCTCTGGAAAGTTCAGTATAGCCTCGACCTTAGTAGCCAGTGGGCGAATGCCCTTGCAGTCAATAGTGTGACCCAGAAAGTCGAGTGAGTCAACACCGATTTGACACTTTTGAATATTAATGGTAACACCATGTTGGCGTAACCTTCAAATGCCAAGTCCAAGTGCCTAAGGTGAGTTTCCTTGTCTGGACTGGCAATGAGGCAGTCGTCTAAGTATGCGTATACAAAGTCGAGACCGCGAAATACTTCGTCAATGAAGCGTTGGAATGTTTGGGCTGCATTCCGAGACCGAATGGCATACGTAGAAATTCAAAAAGTCCGAAAGGCGTAATGATAGCCGTTTTCGGGATATCTTCTGTTGCCATCGGGATTTGGTTATACGCTTTAACCAAGTCGATTTTGGAGAATATAGTCGCGCCGGATAAGGTTGCCGTCAAGTCGTGTATATGAGGCAACGGGTAGCAATCAGGGGTTGTTTTGGCATTCACTCGCCGGTAATCACCGGTGGGTCGCCAATCATTGCTATCCTTTTTCGGAACCATATGAAGTGGGGATGCCCATGGGCTATTCGAAGGTCGAATGATGCCAAGGGTAAGCATATGGTCAAATTCATTCCTGGCGATTCTCAGTTTGTCAGGAGCTAATCGTCGTGCTTTAGATGTCACAGGTTGTCCTGTGGTAATGATGTGGTGCATAACATTGCTGGTTATGCACGGTAGGTCGTTCGACGGGCAGTTAAGTTCCGGATACTTGTCAACATAGGTTGAAAAGTTGGATCAAGGATTGCCTTTATCTTAACGGGTGAAAGCTAGGGCCTATGTAGGTGATGCCTTTGATAGACAGACTAGTAGTATTGTCAATCAGTCGTTTTCGGCGGACGTCTACGAGTAAATCATGATGATTAAGTAGGTCCGTGCCAATGATGGGCATTGTAACGTCAGCGAGAAGGAAAATCCACCGAATAGGTTTGCGTAAACCTACGTTCAGATAGACGTATTTCCTACCAAAGGTTGCGATTGGTTTTCCATTTGCAGCCTGTAAGTTGAAGGTAGGTTCCTTCTGTCGATCTGCTGCTGTAGCAGGAAGGACGCTGACTTCGGCGCCTGTGTCGACTAAGTATCGAGTCTGGCTTATCACATCATGGATGTAAAGTAGGCGGCTAGTGCCACCGGCGACGGTTGCCGCTAACGCGTGCCGGCGGGATAGTTTCCCACAGACTTTGAGACATTTCCGAAGTTACAAGGCTTACGGCAACACTTCGCTTCTTGGCCATAGGTGTTGTGGTACCAGCACCAGTCAGGGTTTTTCAGTGAACGTGGTTTGGACTTAGATCGACCACGTGAGTTCCTGCGTTGAGGAGATTTAGGACGACGGTCGGGGGAGTCAGAATGTTTGTTTGACCTAAATATCTGCTGGATGGAGTTGCATAATTCTTGTCAGCCACGTCTCGTAAACCGTCAATGCCCAGCTCTTGCTACGCTAGGACTCACGCTGTTCCTTGAAGTTTCTCAGAAACGCTTAGTAATAACGGACGCAGAACCAAAACACCGATTGGCTACTCGAGAATTCTTTATTGTAACACCAATATATCCAACTTTAAAATTAAGCTTTAACTAAGGTCTATGAACAAATATTACAATAATAAATCACAATATTACTTCTGACAGTTTTGGTCTCTTTTCTTTCTGAACAGCGACCGATGAGACGATGACTGGTATATCGATGTCTCCGCGAAAATGTAGGGAAGTTGGGTTTGAGAAAACAACCATGAATTGATCGTTCAATCGTCAACTACATTGACAACTCTATCACTGCAGTATCGTTACTCGAAGTCTGCTTAGTCATCGAGCATATTTTGGGGAACTGACCGTTTAGTTATTTCTAGAATCTTATCAGCAGAAATAGCCAAGTCATCTATTACAACACCCTGAATTGTCACAATCACGGTCTGTACAGACTGTGGCAGCTTGGATAAGAAGAGTTTTCTAAATAGTCCTTCGTCGAACTGACTTTGGCCAATAACTTCTCTCATTCTTGTCAGCATGCTCACGGCTGACTGATCTCCTAACTCGATATTACGAAATATCTCGTCCAGAC